CTCATTAACATGTTAACATTAGCTCCATTTCAGTGTTAGCTTCTCATTAACATGTTAACATTAGCTCCATTTCAGTGTTAGCTTCTCATTAACATGTTAACATTAGCTCCATTTCAGTGTTAGCTTCTCATTAACATGTTAACATTAGCTCCATTTCAGTGTTAGCTTCTCATTAACATGTTAACATTAGCTCCATTTCAGTGTTAGCTTCTCATTAACATGTTAACATTAGCTCCATTTCAGTGTTAGCTTCTCATTAACATGTTAACATTAGCTTCATGTCAGTGTTAGCTTTTCGTTAACATGTTAACATTAGCTGTGTCAGTGTTAGCTTCTCATTAACATGTTAACATTAGCTCCATTTCAGTGTTAGCTTCTAATTAACATGTTAACATTAGCTTCATGTCAGTGTTAGCTTTTTGTTAACATGTTAACATTAGCTGTGTCAGTGTTAGCTTTTCGTTAACATGTTAACATTAGCTTCATGTCAGTGTTAGCTTTTTGTTAACGTTAACATTAGCTGTGTCAGTGTTAGCTTCTAATTAACATGTTAACATTAGCTTCATGTCAGTGTTAGCTTTTTGTTAACATGTTAACATTAGCTGTGTCAGTGTTAGCTTCTCATTAACGTTAACATTAGCTTCATGTCAGTGATAGCTTCTCGTTAACATTTTAACATTAGCTTCATGTCAGTGTTAGCTTCTCATTAACATGTAATATTAGCTTCATGTCAGTGTTAGCTTGTTGTTAACGTGTTAACATTAGCTCCACGTCAGTGTTAGCTTCTTGTTAACGTTAACATTAGCTGTGTCAGTGTTAGCTTCTTGTAAACATGTTAACATTAGCTTCATGTCAGTGTTAGCTTCTCATTAACATGTTAACATTAGCTCCGCGTCAGTGTTAGCTTCTTTTTAACATGTTAACATTAGCTGTGTCAGTGTTAGCTTCTTGTTAACGTTAACATTAGCTGTGTCAGTGTTAGCTTCTTGTTAACATGTTAACATTAGCTGTGTCAGTGTTAGCTTCTTGTTAACATGTTAACATTAGTTTCATGTCAGTGTTAGCTTCTCATTAACATGTTAACATTAGCTCCACGTCAGTGTTAGCTTCTTAACATTAGCTTCATGTCAGTGTTAGCTTCTCGTTAACATGTTAACATTAGCTTCATGTCAGTGTTAACTTCTTGTTAACAACATTAGTTTCATGTCAGTGTTAGCTCTGTGTTAACATTAGCTCTGTGTCAGTGTTAGCTTCTTGTTAACATTAGCTTCATGTCAGTGTTAGCTCTGTGTTAACGTTAGCTCTGTGTCAGTGTTAGCTCTGTGTCAGTGTTAGCTCTGTGTCAGTGTTAGCTCTGTGTCAGTGTTAGCTCTGTGTCAGTGTTAGCTTCTCGTTAACATTAGCTTCATGTCAGTGTTAGCTCTGTGTTAATGTTAGCTCTGTGTCAGTGTTAGCTTCTCGTTAACATTAGCTCCATGTAAGAACACAGCTCTCATGTTGTTCTTACCTCCTTCTTTTGACAATGTGTGAGGTTTTCATTCTTTATGAGATCCTCAAAAGTTTCCAGCTGAAATAAATAAATCCAGACTTTTATAATTCCACCAAATCTTCAATAAATTTAATCTGAGGTCAGTTTTCTCAGTTACCTGCTGGAGGAACCTCTCAGTCTGGCTGATAAGAAAACTGGAGAGCTGCTGTCCCAAAGCAGGATACTCGAGGACAGCATGAGGAGAGTCAGAGTCTTTACACCGTGGAGAACCATTTGGACCAGGTGGACCCACGGGGGTCTCAGCTCTCTGTGCTGCACAGAAATCCAGATTCAGGAACTTCTTTAGGCTCAGACCTGGATGAAGAACTGAGGGTCCAGCCTGTGCAGGGTCAAAGTTTAGGTTTACCTGAAGGACAGGAGAAAAAGAACACAATTTATAACAGATAAAACTTTGTGTGGTAGGAGCTGAGAGTCATCCCCAACACAAACTCTGAGGGCTAACATGGTGTAACATTTTTCAGGACGTGTTTTCTGTGTGTGAGAAATAAGGAACGACTCATAATTCAGACTGAATTCATCACATCTTGTTAACAGAACGTGGTGTGATTTTTATTCTGATTAAAGATGATCAGGTGATAAATGTTGGGACGGTAAAGGTCCCGCCCACAGGTGCTGACTGTGCAGGAGCAGACTGATGGAGCTGCAGTTTTAATTGGTTCTCCTCAAACAGAAACCAGCCAACCATTATAAAGGAGCCCTTTTGTAAGACTTTCAAACTCCTCCTGTCCTTTATCACATCATGGATCAGTCAGCAGCAGCATCTGATCAACATGTGATCCATGATGGGATGTAAACGTAACATTTTCTACATATAGGTCAAATTAATCACTGCAATAAAATAACTTTGTTTTTGTCACTTTTACAATGGATTGCATCAACTCTGTTACATACAGAAGGGAAGCTTCACCAAAGTGAAACATAAATCTGTGGATCTGTGTTCGWTTACTCTGCCTGGCTTTCTCAAGGACCAGGATGTGACACAAAAATCTGGATTATGGAGTTGAAAGTGAAAGTAGTCAAACTGAATTTTTAATAAACCAAAATACAGTTTCAAAGCAAATTAATTCAGATAAAAAACTTTAAATTCAGTTTAAATTCAGTGAAATTCATTTTCAAACCAATGCATTTAATTTCAAATTATGAACATTCAGATTCAATCTGAGAAATTCAAATTAAATTCCTGCTGGCACAAGATTTATCTCATATAAAACTGTCAGGATCTGAGCTGCTTCTCTGTCCTGTGAAAATAAAAACAGATTAATTCAACAGAAACCTAAAAACCGTTTATTTCACTCAGTCCGACTCAAAATGTTTTTAAATCTGATGCTGAAAATCTGCAGATGCTACTTTAAAAGTTGTGATTTTGAAGCGTTTGGATAAGAACTCAGTGATGAATCTACTTGGTGTTGTTACAGTGGTTTGCAAAAGTATTCATACCCCTTGAACTTTTCCATATTTTGTCACATTACAACCACAAACATAAATATATTTCACTGGAATTTAATG